TTACTGTCTGTGTCCTGCACATCTGCTCTGTTACTCACAATTTGCAATTTAATTAAGTACAGTGAACATTTTTTTGTAATTTTATTGAAGCAAGCCGAAGAAAAAACATTTCTTTAGTTCCTCCTGAAACTTTTGAAATGGAACGTGTTGTTCATCTGTTTTTATTCAGTCTCAATGTGAAGTCTCAGAATGTAAAAACATTTCAAAAACATCACACTTTGCAAACCAACAGAAGAAGCCGCAGAGAGAATTGTTCCATTCAGCTGGCCAATCAACAGCTACATGTCCTTTAATGGAAAAGTCTCTGGGTTACAACATCTGATAAAACCCTGAACCTGTCACTCAGCTTCAGATCACCGTCACTCATGGATGGACTGCACGTGATCCTTGGTGTTCTCTTTGGTAAATTTACATTTTTATTTAGAACTTAAACCATGATTTTCAGGACAGAAATAACTTGTATGTAGTTTTATTGTTTTTTGTTGTGATTTAATGTGAAATATTGAATAGTTTGTTGAACAATTTGATTTATTTCTGTTCCAGGAGTTGTTTTCTGTGGTCATATCTCAGTTTCTTCAGCAGTGTTGGAGAAGACAGTCAGACCTGGAGACAACATCACTCTCTACTGTGACTGCAGAGTGTCCACTGGAGTTTACAACGTTTGGTTCAGGAACTGTTCCCACGAGAATCATCCTTCTCTTGTTTTAAATAAGGATATCATGTATCTAAGGGACGTGAGATTTCCCCATTTTAATTTTGAAAAGAACACTTCCTCTGATTCCTTTGACCTGGTGATAACAAACATCACTAGATCTGATGAGGGTCTCTATTACTGTGGGACAGAAGAAACAAGGGTGGAGCAAAAACAAAAAATCATTTCCACAACCATTTACAGATACAGCAACAGAACCACAAGACTCACAGTCAGTAAGTAGTTTTGTCTGAATTTACTATTTGACAAAATAAAGACAAAGATTAAATGTTCTTATACTCACAGGTAACTGTGGTAAAATGTGTTATGTAGTTGACACAAAGTAAAACCTCTTCAGGAAAAGACAACGTGGAATTCAAGTAATTTGTGACAATTAGC